GTCTACAATAACGAAGAATACAGTCATACAGTCCCTGGTTCCCACACTCAGGTTGATGGGTAAAATGCCTTAAGCCATCTTTTTGTCTCCAGCAAAACCAACAATGGTTGTACTGGTTGGGATTACTTTGGGGTTCCTCTTTCCTAGTTTTTTCAAAGAAGATTTCGGAAGCAGGTTTACTTCTGCCCCATTATCCACCAATACCCGGTTCATCTATATCCCATCGAAGAAGGCCTTGATATACAAGGGTTTGACATGCTGTGTCATGGATGTTATGGGATACTCAAAAGGGTATGAGAGGTTTATGCTTACCTCCTCCTCACTCGCATCTCCAGTTTCCATTGGTATGGCCACTTCAGATTCATCTTGCACCATACTCACTTGTGAGTCTTCACTAGAAATTGGAATTGGGTCAATTTCTTGACCTTCTTGGTTCTCATCTTCAGCTTGGAATTCCTGTGGTAGTATATGTACCATATTCACTAGTACTAGAGGAAACGAGCCAAATTGGATGACTGGTTGTACCTATTTCTCTTCCTGGCCAACTTGTTCAATTACTTCAGAAGTATCTTCCATGCTGCATTCTGGCACTTCAGTACTCATAACTTCCTTCAAAGGGTCTGTTTCTGCTGGTTTTTCAACTAAAAATGTTTGTTCAACCATGAAGGCTTCAAACATTTCTTCCCCAACCATCTCCCTCATTTGGCCTAGGATAACTTCTTCCTCTGTCCCATTATCACTTTCCATCAAAGCTTTTTCCAATCCTGCCAAATTGGATCTTTCTTTGGCTTTCAGTTCAGATTGAACTTTTGCCAATTGCTCTCTGTTGCAACTCCTTTTATCCTGAGGAGACGATTCTGGATTATGATCTAACCTTGTACTTTTTCCTCTCTCTGCCTGGCCCTTTGGCTGGACCAATGAGGAACTTTCTCCGCTTTGTTTCAGATCCTTCTGGTACTGAGTGTACCTTCGCTGGATCTTTCTCTTTTGGGACCTAGAGATCATTGGGACCATATTTGGTTCCTTTGTTTTTGGATGCTTAAGTAACTCCTAATTATTTGGAGTCACCAAAGGAGGTTTAACCATCCTACCTTGGTCTCCAACAACATTTCTTTGGGTAGACATCTCCCTAGGTTTGTTTTGCATGACAAACCAATTTGGGACTCTAGGCACCCACGAACCTACTAGCCCAGTTGTTGAACTGTCTCTTTCTTCCTTCAAAGCCATCTTTGAAGCTGGCTGTGAAGGCCATTGTCTGGCCCTAACTCCCTGTTTTGGGCCCAATTTAGGCCTTCCATGAAGGTGGCCACTTTCCACCCTGCATAAAGCTGGTTTAGGAGGCCAATCCCTGGCTTTGATCCCATAACTTGAACCCCTTTCAAGTCTCCTTTCAGGATGATTGCCCTCCATTCTGTAATAGTTAGGTGGTCTGGATTCTTGTAGAGGTCTCTTTCCTTTGAAGTGCACTCTAGTGGCCGTTGGCTCAACCATTAATGTCTACTGCCTAATACCAGTTGGATACAACCTTTTGTTATAAGCACTGGTTGGTTTAGGATGCCTCTGCACATCCTTGTAATATTGATTCCCATTAATCGGAAGCCCCTTCAACCACTTGTAGCTCAACCTGTATCTAGGACACATTCTTTGCATGACAGCGGCTTCTACAGAATCATCATCTAGTGCCTCTTCATTAGAGTCTTCCCTCTGGTCTGGAAAACCTTGTCCAATAGCTGGTAAACTTCTAGCATCTTTCTCAACAGTGGTCTGGCTGGCAACATGCATTTGTATATTAACCTCTTCCAATTCTTTCACGGACAAGTTCTGGAAGTCTAGTACAATGACATTGGCTGCCACTTCTCTAATTTCTGGGAATGGATTAGTGTCAATCCCCATGGCCTTTTCAGCTTTAGCTGAGAATTTCAAACTTCCCTTCCAAATCTGCTCTTAAATCCTGTCTTGAAAAACAATACAATTTTTAGTTGAGTGAGACCAAGAATTATGCCATTTACAATACATTTTTCCTTTAAGTTCTTCTAGAGACGGAATTTTGACTCTTTTTTGTAACTTCAAGAAGTTCGCAGCAAGTAAATGATCAAAAATGTCATCTGCCTTTGTCAAATCAAAAGAGTATTTCCTATGAAGGTCTTTCTTTTTAAACTGTTGGTCTATTGTTATGTCTTTATGAATTAATGTTTCACAGATCACAGGTTTTTTTCCCACAATCTCTGCCGCATCAATCTCATAATTAGGATCTCTATAATACGTCTTGTATGATGCATTACTTCGATCTTGTTCTTCCTCTAATAATGCTTCATACCTAGATACCTTATAGGTCAATTCCACTAAGTCTCTAAACTCAGTTGAGTCAAACTTCTTTCGAAGCCTAAACTCTAGACCATTTTGAGCCAATCTCACAAATTCAAGCTCTGGTAGGACAATCCTACATTTGTTTCGTGCTCTTTTGAACCTGGCAATAAATTGAGCAGCCTTTTCATCAAGCCTTTGACTCAACCTTGCCAAATCTGCCATAGAAATTTCTGGCTCCGTTTGGAAGAATTGGGCATGAAATGCCTCATCCATCTGTTGCCAAGTTTGGATAGAGCCAGGTATAAGGTTAATATACCATACAAAGGCTGCCCCAGTTAGAGAATTTGGGAACAATCTCAACTTCATGTAATCATTATTGGTAAATTCACCACACTGAGCAGCGAACCTAGCAATATACTCCACCATTGACTGGTTTCCATTCCCATAGAAAAGAGCAAAATGTGGTATCCTAAATCCTCTTGGGTATTCATGTACCCTATCTACCCATTCTGGATATGGTTTTCTGTACACAAGAGTTTAAACCCCCCGAGCCATTGGTCCACACATCTCTCTAACAATGTCAGCAATTTGATCCCTAGGAACCATATTTTGTGCTTGTTGAACCACTACTGGAGGAACAAACACAAGATTTGGTAGACAACCTTGTACCTGAGATCCTTTTGGTCCATATGGTGACACATTTGGGACTAGTTGTCCCTGTGGTGTTGGCTACTGTTGAGGGTATGGGTAACCCCTCTGAGCCTGTCCTGCGAAAGGACCTGCGAAAGGTGCTGGAACAGGTGTTGTGTCTCTTTCAATTGTAGGGAACCCTTCCAATTCCTCGGCTGTAAATTCAAACAAAGGATTAGTGAACCCCCTTGTGCCAGGTATGGCTTCGAATGTGGGATTTTGAAACATCCTTATACTATTTTCTTGTGTTGGGCCAGATCCACCAACTTGCATGGCTTCATTGTTAAGTAATGAGGCATTTTGATTTACTATAGGTTTCGAAAGAGGTTCATACCAAGACTGAGGTGATGGTCTTTTGTAATTTTGTTTACTAGTTTGACTATTAGAATGTCCATTAATTTGCATAGGCTGTTTATCTCTAGCCAATCTTTGTTGAGAGACATTTGAAATTCCCTCCATATGTCTTGTGTTTGTTGGTTGGTGGGTATTCATTCGATCCACGAAGGATGTTGCCCACATTTCCATTGTATTCATTAACTACTGTCCTATGGCATCTACTAGGCCACCCCATGGATTCATTGGCTGAGTAGATGGAATAATGGATGGTCTAATTCCTTGGCCCCATCCAATATTTTGAACATGTGGTACTTGTTCCGAAGTGCTGGTCTGTTCGACCATAGGTTCTGATAAAACAGGTACTTCCACAGGATGTGTTATCGCATTATCTTCTAGATTAGGCATTTCTAGCTCTCCTTCCACGCATTCTTCCAAGCGTTCATTTTCTCTTTGTCTCCTACGTCTAGCCATTTTAATTAGTCCCACCGAGCGTGCCAAAAATATATGTTGGCTTTTTGGCTTTCGAAAGTTATTTTTGTAATTGTGAGCGTGCCAGCAAGGATCAATCAGTCCTTACAGAATATTAATTGCCAACCAATTATCAGACGATTGTGTTTTAGTTCTTTCAGCCTCAATGAAGAGGACTTTTACTAGTGGCTTTGTTTAGGAAAATTCAGTAAACAATGATTAAATGAAGAACAATTATAGCATTTCATTAAGTAGAATGAAAGACTTACAAATATCCAAATCAGCCTCGTAGAGGTTTACAGCAACAAATTACTTGAAACTACTCCTATGAACGAAGTGCAGTGTAGGAATTTGAAGTACAGGAATGTAAAGAACAAGAAATGTAAAAACTGGAAAAAAAAATAAAGTAGATAAAACTGGTTTTTTGGATCTGAGTCTGGGGCCACTTTATGGGGGCCTTCTCTGCTATTTATACTTCTAAATGACAACCGTCGAACTGCATTTCTAACTGTCAAACCATCCTTCCATGGTCGTTGATCATGTTGTCTTATAGTTAGCTCCACTACGCCATGTCTGCAGTTAGGCTTCCCCCCTGATATTTAAATTTAAATATGAGTAACCGTTAAGGTCACGTCGTCTTGCACTTTTTTGCTGATTCCATACTATATACATCCATAATAACCAATACTAACTGTCACAGGCATGATTATGATTAAAGACTTGAACTGTTTTCTTGTATTGCTCTCATCCTGCCATGTGTTGAGCTGTGATTGACTTCTACAAAATATATAGCCAACAACCACACATAAATACATTTTAAAAATATAATATTTGTGAAAAAAAAATATTTATAAAATTCACTAAATACTATAAATATATATATGAAAAATTAGTATATTTTTTGTATTCTTGTGCATTTATTGATTTTTAAAATATTTTTAGACAAATATTTTAATTTTTAAACAAATATTTTACTTTTTAGATACATTTAAGTAAGGTGTATCTCAAAATATAAAAAATAAAAATTACTTAAATTTTTAAAAATTCACTAAAAATAAAAATAAAAACATGAAAAATAAAAAACTCAATTTTTAAAAAATTAAATCAAAAAAATCAAAATTAAATAATTTTTAAAAATTCAAAAATAAATTTTTTAAAAAAAAATCAACTAAAGAAGATCTCAATTTTTTACCTCCCTCCCAAATTTCCCAATGTTCGAATTTCCCACAAAACCCTATCTCTGTGATTTCGTTTTCCCTCTCTTTCTTTTCACGCTCAACTTTAATGCCTTTCTTCGTGCGATTCATCATTTTCCTCAGTTCTCCCCACCCCACCTTCACGCAACTCATCTTCGTGCAATTCGCCGATGAGCCTGGAAACTATTTCCCGTCATCCATGGAAACTGTTCGTTTCCAGGTCGGAATCACCAATTTCCGATCACTGAATCGCTCAAGTAGAACCTGCAAATAAGCCGATTCACTCCGTCTCAAACCCTTCTTTCCCGCCCAAACCCTCTTCTCCAAACCCTTCTCTCCTCATTCTCTCACTCATCTCCGCCACTTCCATTGTCTCGCCAAAGCCACCGATCCTCACCACCACCATCATGATCATTACCACGGTCACAACCACTATCACCATCGCCATCACCATTACCAGCACAATCACGATGGCCATGCCAAGCTGACTAGGGCACAGGAAGCATTTCTTCGATTCTCCGAAACGATTAGGTGGACCGATTTAGCGGACTTCTTACGGGAACACTTGGAGCTATGCTGTTGTGCCATAGCTCTGTTTATCGCCGCTACAGCTTGTACCTACTTGCTTCCGAAGCCGGCTGTGAAGCCTCTGCAGCGTGTTTTCATTCTCATTGCTTTCCCTCTCGTAGGGTATGAGTATTCTCTCCCAATTTTTCCTAATTTTGATTTTGGATTGATAAACTGATATAATTTCATACTCAATTGGCCTGAAGATGAAGAGCAAAATTTGATGGGTAAGGTGACAATTTTTCTTATTTTGGTTAGATTTGCCCGTGAAATTGGACTAATATGAATGTAATGGAGGAATATATCAAGAGGGAGTGAATAATTTTTATTTTATTTTATTTTTTAAAATTGCTGTTAATGCCAACTATGTCTTATGGTATAGGGCCTTAGGTAGCTAAGAAGCAATATGTTCAAATGATGATTGAAACTAAAATGAGAATGTTGAGATGAATGGGTTGTGTTATTAGCAAAGATAGACTAAGAGAATGAATTCACTGGCGGAAATTACCAATTGAAGAAAAAAAAAAATTTGATTGACATGGTATGGTCATGTGTGAAATAGACCAAGGTTGATCCTATTGCAAAGGTAATTGATGATCTCATAGTTTTAATATTGTGGTTATGGGCCTAAGGTTTTATTTCTGTGTTTTAGATAGCTATTTTTCAGTCCTCTGCTGTTTTATGGTTCTTTAATGTATAGAGCCAGAGCAGTGAATTTTTTTTTTTTTTGAGTATTTTTTAATTTTAGCAGTTCATATCTTAGCATATACTTATAATTTGTTTGTTTCCTTAATTTGATTGGACCCTAGACTACATTTATCAGCATGTTCTGGACAGGCACAGGTGGTAAGCTATCTGTGCAAGAACAAGGCAGATGTTGGTGCCGCTGCTATGGATGACGTGGGCGCTTCAAGAGAGTAAGCGTAAAATGAACAATGCGACTAGAGGGGTAAGCCATATAAAATTGATGAATTTTACATTTTATCAAATTTATATATATACATATGGAAATTATTAACACATTATACTAAATATGTACAGAAGCATTTTACCCTCAATTAAAGGAAAACTGTTGTTGGCTAATTATTTGTATGCAGCTACTCAACTTTAGATAGAAGTGTACAATTTTGTCAAGGCAACTGATAGGCCTTTATAAATATATTAATCGACTTTCATATCATTAAAGAAATTGAGGTGAAGGTGGCCTAGATGCATATGTGTATGTTGTTTTTGCACAATCTTACAAGGGGAGAAATCCTTCATGGAATATTTTTAATAGATCACATATGCAATTAATGTATTTTCTTCTTAATGCCCTACTAGTTAGTGCTTTATGGAAAATATTTTTATTTTGGGGTTCACAATGTTCATATTTAAGATCGAAGAAGAAGAACGAAAACTCGAAGCAGCTATTGAAGAAACAGAAAAGTAGTGCGCTCAAGTGACTGCCGAACTGAAGGAATTGGAGTTAAAATCTAGCAGCTTTAATGAGTTAGAGGAGCGGTGAGTTTCTTCAAATGAAATTGCTCAGTAAAGTAACTTCACTATTTGAATGGCTTTTGATAAAGTATTAAATTATTAGACTAATTATTAAGGGTATGATTCTGTTTGTAAAGTTTGTTTATTTAGAACATGCTATTTATATTTTATATGATTTATACTTGTCTATCAAAATATTTGTTTGCTAATTCTTCCTTTGTTTTCAAACTTATGTGTATCAGGTATTGGCATGAGTTCAATAATTTTCAGTTTCAGTTAATTTCACATCAGGTGTGTTGCTGTTAACCTTCTTCTTTAGGACTTCGTTTCCTTCAGTTATTACATGAATTTACATTATTCTGGAGTTTGGAGTTGTCAATTGGTGATAATTTCTGCTTGTTGAGTGCCATTGAAGTTACTTAAATTGCTCTTAAGCAAATCTCCTGGTGTGGCAACTACAATGTTGTAGTAAACCTGTTAATGTTGAAGGGAACTGTGGTTTTCTTTTCTTCTTATTTATTTATTTATTTATTTTTGGATACTCTTGAAATGTGGATATATATATATATATATATATTAATGTTTTCATAAAATTGCCATTTAGGGAGAGTCTTTTTCTTTTTTATGTTGTGCATGAAGTACATATTACTACCACCCACATTTTACCTTGATGTGGTAGTCCTAGCCAGATCTCTCATTCTCATCCATCCACCATTCTTACTATCTTCATTGGAGTTCTTTACTTTTTCCTTGATTGCTCTGTTTTTTATTTGCAAATGTCTTGTTGTGTTGTCAAAACATGTCTTTGAAATGTTAACTTGGTTTTGGTCAACAGGAAGAGAGAGATGCAATTTTGGCCAAAATTGAAGTTTCACAATCACATTTGGAGTCATTTAGAGGCATGTGCTTGTATCATTTAGAGTCATTTAGAGTCATTTTCTTGTCTAGGATGCTGGTGCTATCAATGAATATATTTGTGGGGTTAGAAATTAATTAATTTAATTTTTTTATCATCAATTATAATAATGACTTAAGTGAGTTGGTTATTTGAGGTTATCTGCTTGAAATTGATTGATCTTATCTTTACATTAGTGCAATTATCTTGAAATTGATTGATCTTATTTTTTTGTGCTTGTTCTTCTCTTTGGTAAGCCTTCTTCTCTCATGATATATAGAGTTTGGTGGCATTGTTCCCTAATTTTGCTTTGCACAATATATCACAATAGGACGTCATTTGGGATTTGATTTGGGATTGATTCTTGGGTCTTAACTAGATTTTCTTATATATGCTATATGAAATAGTTCAAGGATTTAAAGTTTAAGATTCATAATTACATTGGAGATTGTAACGTCTCTTGATCTTAATTAAGACATCACTGCATTCAAGGAACTTAGAATTTGAGATGTTGACGTCCCAAAATCACCAAACGGCGTTGGATTAGCAAGAAACTTGGCACACACGACTATTTAGGCACGAGAGACTTGTTGGAGACGACGGGACTCCAATCGGGTTCACGGTTTTGGAGTTAAAACTGGATTTCGGTCTAAGCAAATTAGTTCCTTAAGAAACTTAAAATTTGAGGTGTTGACATCCCAAAATCACCACACGGCGTCGGATTAGGACGAAGCTTGGCATACACGACCACCTAGGCATGAGAGACTTGTGGGAGAAGACAGGACTTGAATCGGGTTCCCGATTTGAGAGTTAGAGTCGGATTTCGGTCTAGACAAACTAGTTCCTTAAGAAACTTAGAATTCAAAGTGTTAACGCCCCAAAATCACCAAACGACATCGGATTAGCACAAAACTTGGCACACATGATCGCCTAGGCACCAGAGACTTGTGGGAGAAAACATGACTCAAATCGAGTTCTCGGTTTGGGAGTTAGAGTTGAATTTCACTCTAGCCAAACTAGTTTCTTAAAAAACTTAGAATTCGAGGTGTTGATGTCTCAAAATCACCAAACGGCATTGGATTAGCACGAAACTTGGCACACACGACCGCCTAGGCATGAAAACTTACAGGAGAAGACCGGACTCGAATCGGGTTCTCGATTTGGGAGTTAGGTGCAAATTTCACTTTAGGGAAACTAATTTCTTAAGAAATTTAGAATTTGAGGTGCTAATGCCTCAAAATCACCAAATGGCATCGGAGTAGCACGAAACTTGGCACACACGACCGCCTAAACACGAGAGACTTGTGGGAGAAGACAAAACTCGAATTGGATTCTCAGTTTGGGAGTTAGAGTTGGATTTCACTCTAGGCAAACTAGTTTTTGAAGAAACTTAGAATTCGAGGTGTTAACGTCCCAAAATCACCAAACGGCGTCGGAGTAGTACGAAACTTGGCACACACGATTACTTAGGCACGAGAGACTTGTGGGAGAAGACAGGACTCGAATCAGATTCCCAATTTGGGAGTTAGGGCGAATTTCACTCTAGACAAACTAGTTTTTTAAGAAACTTAGAATTCGAGGTGTTAACGTCCCAAAATCACTAAACGGCGTCGAAGTAGCACGGAACTTGGCATACACGACTGACTAGGCCCGAGAGACTTGTGGAAGAAAACAGGACTCGAATTGGGTTCCTGATTTGGGAGTTAGAGTCGAATTTCGATCTAAACAAAATTATTTATTTAATTATCTTTGTAATTGTATAGTAGTTAAATTTTTATGTTTTTTTGTAATTAACATATTAACACATAATTATATTGTCATTAATTGTTTTTATTTTTTGTTTTCAGATATTTCTTGAGTAGGAGTTTGCTTCTTGTGCATGTCTGTGAAGAATGCGACTAACTTTCGTTTTTGTCACTCACGTAGAATGATCATCAAAACTTTTAATTTTGGTTTATGTTATTTTGAATTATGAACAACATTATGTATTTAAACATTATATATGTATTATGGAACATTATATAGTGGGTAATTTTGTTGATGTGTAATTATAAATGCAAGAATATTTTTATTATGGAGAAATTATTTTTTCTATATAGGAATTTTTATATTATTATGCAATTATTGATTTCTTTTTCAATTGTTTTTCATATAATACAAGTAATTTTAATATTTTTAATAATTTCATTGTAGTTTTTTTTTTTTTTTTTTTTTTTGCGACGGCAACGTACCGTCGCAAAAAAACAGAACCATTCGTGATAACATTTTTTGCCGTCTCAAATAACACTTTTAGTGATGGTAAAATGGCGCCGTCGCAAAAAGTCTGACTTTTTAACATATTATAATCAACAGGAAATTGCCGTCGCAAAAGGTACCAATTGCCGTCGCTAAAAAAAAAGCGACGGCATGATGCTGTTGCTAAAAGTCTTTTGCAACACCTTTTGTTGAGACCTCCCATTTGCCGTCGCTAAAAGTTATTTGCCGTTGCTAAAACTTTTTTGAGACGGCATGAAGAGTATTTGCGACGACACTATGCCATCGCAAAAAATCAAAATTTTTGTAGTGTGAGCCATTGAGCTTGGAACTACTCTATTTTCCATTCAACCACAGAGGTCAGAATAGATGAATCCAAAAAGCTCACCAGTTGATATACGACACAATTTTGGAAAATTTTATATTTTATTTTATTTTTTGTTATTTTAAATTTTGATTTTGATGACGATTATTGTTATTTAGCCTAAAATAGTATAGAATTTATAATTTTCTAGTCATTTTAATTTCTTTATTCTGAGTCAGTTTTAATTTTGTTTTTGTTTTTTCTTTTTTTAAGAATACTTGTTTTAGAGTGTTTAGGATTACTTTATTATAAGCTAGCAGTGACGAGGGGTGTGCGCGGTGCGGGTCGGTACGGTTTGAGAGTAAAATAGAAACCGTATGGCGGGTGGTGGATTGATAAAAGTGTCACTAGAATTTGTCATTTTCCTTATCAAAAATCGGCGGTTCGGTTGGCAAATAATGGCGGATTTGCCTTGGCGGTTCAGGCAGATTGGCGGTTTATAAAAAATATAATTCAAATTACAAAACTTAAATCAAAGAGTAAAAAAAAGATGAGAGATACCGTGATGTTAAGCATCTTGAAAAGTGAATTGGAATCCAACTTTATTTTGGATTACTAACGTCTTGAATTCCCCTCGAGCAGTAATGTAATACTATATTCTAAGGTATAGAACAACAAGCAAACTTAAGTAAAAAAGAATTTTTAGAATCTTATAAAACATGATTTAATAGCGGTGCGGGTCGGTGCGGTTTGGAAGAAAAATAGAAACCGGCGGATTGATAAAAATGTCACTAGAATTTGCCATTTTTCTTACCAAAAATCGGCGGTT